CGTGACTACATGCATGACCCTAGCAGAGAAAAGAATAAACACTACCCAGAAGGATGTATGCAAGTAAAAAGCCAAGGAGCAGTTACAAACAAGAAAGATAAGCCCACAGTGAGCTCTGCTGCCCTCACTTGAACAGACCTGAGGTGTGAGGCAGGATTCATTTCTGAGTGATGAATGAGGGACTGGAGCAGATTTGAAGAGAAAAGTCTATAAATGAGATAATGCAGGCTGAGTGATTTAAAAAGGCTCACCATAGAGAAAACTGCAATGACTTAGATTTAGCCACCCAAAGACTTTTAGAACTAACTTTCCCCTTGAAAATCGAGGAAAAGGCAATTTGAAGATATTAAGAACAGTACTTACAGTAGAATAGTCTGAGCCAAAGAGTGATGAAGGTAGCAAAGCTAGGGAAAAATGCCAATGATGATATTTTAAATGCAAATAATGATATTATAATAGTCTATTGATGGGGTAACCAGCAGTTAGCATAATGGCTATGTTGCTGGACTCCCATGTTCTTAAAAAATAAAAATATATGCGACTCAATGTAAATTAAAATAGAGTTGGCCTAATGGTTTTGTCGCTGGAATCCCATGTACTCAACCGCAGTTTGAGCCCCAGACCTGGTAGCTTAAACTCACGCTATGTGCGTGCGTGTCTGAGATCCCAAGAGGAGAAGGGATTGTGGTGTGGCCATCCATCCTGGGGGGTGATTTTTCACTTTCTGTTTCTCTGTCTCTGCCTTTCCAGAGAGCGCACATGCCCTATAGCAAAAACCTCTCAAAAGAAAATGTAAAGTAAAATTAAAATATTTTAAACCTGGCACTTAGATAGAACAAATGTGACAAATGAATAAATACAGCAGGTTGAAGAAATACATGAATTTTTTTCAATGTTATCTTTATGACATATTCTGAAATGAAAGGCAGTAACACATGCATCAGACACATCCAACAAGACACATCCAATTCCTTTTTTTGAAAGAATTATTCTATTTAACTTTATTCATTTATTCATTTTTACTTATTTTAATTTGATAAGAGAGGGACAGAGTGTAAAACAGATTGAGAGACAGAGAGAAAGCCACCAGGTTCAGGACTTGAACCACGGTCGGCCATGTGGGAGTCCAGTACCCTTAACTACCACACCACCTCCCGGGCCCCCAACAGAAGACTTATACAATTGTTTACATATCTTTTTACTTCTTCCTTTAAACTGCCTGTTTTACAGGTTTTTCCACAGATGAGATATGAACTGAACAGGCTCTTTTTTCCTACAAAATTATGGCATAAACTTGCACCATTTTCTATCTTATTGCTTAAAGGCACACAGTTTGTAAAATAAACCCCTTAAGGAGCTACAAGGTACAAGAACTAAGGTAAAAATTAGCACAGACACTTACATTTGTATCAACACAGAACTGGATGCTAGCGAACATTTATCATGACACAGGGAAAAATTAGAGAAAAGAGGTACACTTTAGTCCTGCAAGGTTTAAATAGAAATCCTAATATAGTATTGTTTCTAACCATCAGTCCCACATTACAGTACTTACAAATGAAGTCAAAAGTCTTGCACAGAAAATTACACACATCTGTTCAGTATGCATCAGAAACACAGCTGCTTTCAAAATCAAAGTAAGTAACTTGGTTAACAACTGAATAGCATTCTGTTTCAAAAGCAATTCTTCCCCCTCATGGATTATCTGATTAACAGTACTAGTTCAAGTTAGTCCCCAGAATGGTATTGGAAATTTTCTATGAGGACACAGATGGTACCGGTTTTATTAAAAGCAAAAACTGGGACCAGCAGATGGCATTATGGCTATGTTGCTCGACTCCCACATAGGTCCTGAAACTGGCAACTTAAAACTCATGCCGGGTGGCATGTGCATGCATGCCCAAACTCCTGAAAAAAGGGACTGTGGTGTGGCCATACCCCCTAGGGAGTTGATTTCTTCTTTTCTGTCTCTCTCTGACTCTCTGGCAAATGCATATGCCCTATAGCAAAAATCTCTCTATGAAGTGAAACTAACCAGTTATGATAACAAGTAAGTCCATGCAGTTAACAGTGACAAATGTTCAACAGAATAGTTCCTATCTAAGGATGCCTTTGCCACAGTTTAAGAAAAGTCAGCAGCAGCTTAGATATCACACTAGTGTTCAACTCTGAAACCATTTAGAATATAAACAACATTCTGATTTAAAGTCTTTAGTGTGCCTTCCCAACCTGTGTGATAAATTCAATGGAACCATTACAAACATAATGCATCACAAGTTCGGCTTCTATGCATCTTTTCAGAAATTGCACAGAATCATGAGAGTGTAAGCTATACTTCTCAAACACACTATAAACGAATGCATTCACCATCAAAAGAGAATCTTTACAAGGGTATAAATGACCAATATCCCGAATAATGCCATCATTGAGGGACGGAAATATTTTACTGTAGAGGGAGGATAGCACTTCTATTAACAGTATATTGAAAATGATCCAGAAATCTGGGAAAAAGATTTGTTAAGCATATGATGAAAGAATTACAGGTATAACAGACATTTTACTCTTTTTTTCTTTTTTTTGGAGAGGTTTTTGGTATAGAGCTCGTGCACTCGCCAGAAAGACAGAGAGAGACAGAGAGACAGAAGGCGAGAAATCACCCCCCAGGGGGGGTGGCCACGCTGCAATCCCTTCTCCTCCATTCTCCTCTCGGGATCCTGGGCACGCACGCACACGTGCCTGGCATGAGTTTAAGCCACCAGGTCCAGGACTCAAACCGCAGTCAACTACATGGGAGTTCAGAGACATAGCCACTACGCTAACTGCTGGTCTCGACATTTCACTCTTTAGCCTGTGGTACAAGAATGGCATAAAAGAGGTAGGGGAAAAAATGCCTGTAAATGTACATACATTCTTAGACTTTTCAGAACAAAATAAAAATGGAAAACAAGAAAAGTCTTTTACAGCCTGATACTTTGATTATAAACATTACAAAAGCAAAAGTTCTCTTTATAAAGCTATGAAGTTGAAAAAAAAATACTTTGAGCTATAAGCTTTGTAAGGAATAGTTTGTTCTTCAAAAGCATTTCATTTGTTATGGGTTCATTTAATACGATTTCTTAACTACATACCAAACCTAGGAAGGGGAGGAAACTCGTGGCCTCTTCAAAGGCAAGCAGAGCTAAAAACATTTCCACACTGAACAAAAAGCACTGTATCGTGACTACATGCATGACCCTAGCAGAGAAAAGAATAAACACTACCCAGAAGGATGTATGCAAGTAAAAAGCCAAGGAGCAGTTACAAACAAGAAAGATAAGCCCACAGTGAGCTCTGCTGCCCTCACTTGAACAGACCTGAGGTGTGAGGCAGGATTCATTTCTGAGTGATGAATGAGGGACTGGAGCAGATTTGAAGAGAAAAGTCTATAAATGAGATAATGCAGGCTGAGTGATTTAAAAAGGCTCACCATAGAGAAAACTGCAATGACTTAGATTTAGCCACCCAAAGACTTTTAGAACTAACTTTCCCCTTGAAAATCGAGGAAAAGGCAATTTGAAGATATTAAGAACAGTACTTACAGTAGAATAGTCTGAGCCAAAGAGTGATGAAGGTAGCAAAGCTAGGGAAAAATGCCAATGATGATATTTTAAATGCAAATAATGATATTATAATAGTCTATTGATGGGGTAACCAGCAGTTAGCATAATGGCTATGTTGCTGGACTCCCATGTAGTCGACCGCAGTTCGAATGCCAGATCCAGTGGCTTAAACTCACAGTAGGTGTGTGTCCGTGCATGTCCAAGATCCTGAGAGGAGAATGGAGGAGAAGGGACTGCGGCGTGGCCATCCTTCCTGGGGGGTGATTTCTCACTTTCTGTCTCTCTGTCTCTCTCTGTCTTTCTGGTGAGCGCAAGCGCCCTATAGCAAAAACCTCTCAAAAAAAAAAAATAGTCTATTGATGGGGACCAGAAGAAGGCGTAATGGATAGGTCACTGGACTCCCATATATTCTACTACGGCTTGTGTCAGACTTGGCAGCTTGAAACTGATGCCAGTCATATGTGCATGCCTGCTCAGAATCTCAAAAAAATGGAGAAGGGACTGCAGTGTGGCCATCCATCCTGGGAGATGATTTCTCACTTTCTGTCTCTCTGGCAAGCACCCATGTCCTATAACAAAAATCTCTCTTTAATAAAACAATGTCTCTTGATGAAAACTTTTTTCAGAAACATCTGAGGACACTAGATAGACCATGGTCTACAAGGAAACACTATAGGAATTTACAGTTTTCCAAAAAAAAATTTTTTTATTGGAGAGGTTTTTGCTATAGGGTGCATGCGCTTGCCAGACAGGGAAAGACAGAGAGACAGAAAGCGAGAAATCACCCCCCAGAAGGGAAAGTCACACCACAATCCCTTCTCCTCCATTCTCTTCTTGGGATCTTGGGCACGCACACACATGTGCACAGCGTGAGTATAAGCCACCGGATCTGGGACTCAAACTGCAGTCGACTACATGGGAGTTCAGTGACACAGCAGTTACACCAACTCCGAGTCCTGCCTGCCGTACTTGCGGCTTCTATTTAAGAAAGAGTAAAAGCTTCCCACAACCTAGAGGAAATTTGTTCTCTAAGGATGACTGTATTACTAGACCATCTTATACCATTATCCATGATGTTCCTGTACTAAATGTAACCCAATGAATCTCCTGCAATCAGAAAAGTTATGATATATTTTTTCTATGTTTTTCTATGCAAAGTACACCATGACTTTTCTGATAATTCAAAAGGTCAGTATTTTCTTAAAGCCAGAAATTATGCCACGAGGACACATATATTATGAATAAAATTTAAAAGGAATAACAATATCTAAAATACTTTGACCCAAAGTCCTCTCCTGTATTTTAGGAAAAAACCTATGTAACAAAATCTGCAGCTGATAATGCCAAGAGAATACTCACTAACCAATTACCTATCTAGGGATGCAAGTCCCTGCAGCTCACCTGGACTTTGGCAATGGGAAAATCCTCTTGCTTCCACCATGCACACCATTTCACCTTTTTCCAAACAGAAAATCAAATCTGTTTTGCAGAGCTGATATCCTGTTCATGGAACAAAAGTAACTGAACTTTATGATAATAAATGTGTATTATCAACAAGTCGATGCAAAACCATGGAGGAAGAACATGGACAACCCTGGATGCCATCCCAAGTAACACATTTAACACAGGAAGCATTGAAGGGCCTTCACTACACCAGGGAGAAATCCCAAGTATGTGCCCAGAATAGTGAGGACCTCAGGACACGATGCCAAGTTCAAAGTCAGGGTACAGACTTACCACTCTGTTCAAAAACAGAGAAATCAAATGCTTCTACAGTGGGATGAATATTTTACTCAAGTACAATGCAATAAACAGAGTCCACAGGAATAATCAAAATTCTGCTATTTTCACTACTTTGATCTCAAAACTTAGCAAACTGCCTAGAGCAGAATAATTACATTTGGCCTTCAATATCCATGAGTTCCATAGCAGTAAATTTAAACAATCACACACTGAAACTGTTTTTAAAAGTAAAAAAAAAATCCCATATCAATAAAAAACTTAATATATCAGTTAGTGATATTATATTAACGATTACCAGGAATCTAGAGATTACATAAGATATACTGAAGGACGTATGAAGAGTATGCACAAATGGAATACCATTTTATAGAAGGAACTCTAAAATCTTTGGATACTAGCATGTGAGGGGGTCTTATAACCAATCCCCAAGAACAACTATATTTACAAATTTATCTTATCTGTTTACGATTTCAAGAATATTTACTGAGTTCCCGCTTATAGCCTGACTTTTAGAGAATTGGTGCCAAGAAATGCATGAAGTTACAGGAGTGGTGCAGCAATAACACAACAGGACCCACATGGGAAAGGTCCTGAGTTCAAGTCCCACAGCTGCCCAGAGTACTTCAGACATGCACATGTGTGCCCATAATCACAGCTGGCTGAAACTTGACTACAGTACAAATGCTCTGTTAGGAGTCTCTTCCTCTCTCTTTTTTTCCTCTCTCTTTACCTTACCCATAAGAAAATACTAAATAAAATAAAAAGAGAAATAAAGATAACAAATCATGATAAAGAACACATTCTAATGCCATGAAAAACTAGATGCGAATAGTATGTAATCAAAGAATTTCTTTAATATGCTTTTTTGGGTCTAAGGCAGCATCAGGACAGAGATTGGAGGAAGACATGAGGAAGCTCTTCTATACCCTTGCTCATTAATGCAGTGAATACATGTGCACCTGCATACAGAACTACTGATGGACTCACCAACAGATACCAGATGATTGATGTTTTCCAGCATCACATCTTCATACAGCTTTCTCCCAGATGTGCCTAGTAGGGCCCACTCTTCCTGAGTGAAGTTTATAATAACATCTTCAAAGGTCACCAATTCCTAGAACATTATGAATATTCCAGTTTAGACACAGCCATCTTACCAATGCCCAGAGAGAAAGGGTTGAGACAATAATGCTGAGGCAGAGAAGGAAACTGAGTTCATAGAAAGATCAAACAGCGTTTCAGGATCCAGTTTATTCATTCTCATTGCCAAGCTGGCTTCTGCCTTTTACAAACCCTCGCATACACACACACACACACACACACAATAAATTCAGAAATTATTATTTTCAAGAAATATTACAAGAGGTATGATGTAATACAATTTGGAAATTTTTCAATAAATTGAATTATGAATTCTAGATGGGTCATTGTAAAGCTTATGCTTTATAATTTCATAACTAAACTATCTTCCTCATGAATCTTAAGTACTTCACAAACATCACAGATAAAACTGTAGGTCATGACTTTCAGGTCATGACTATTTTTAAATTACTCCCTACATGAGCCTCAGATTCCTAATCTATGCGATGGTTTAATATTCTGGTATAAGGGTTGAAAAGACCCAATGACTGTATAAAGTTCTTCCTACCTAACAAAAATGTATTAAAAGCCATTAATCTATGCATAGAAATAGGCAGAAAATCTTGAGGCAGTCTCCAGGAGTCTCCAGAATTGAGGAAGTTTCATACAGCTCTTGGTACCAGTAGGTGTACTACAGCCCTACATGACAAGGTGCTCACAACAAGGTTTCAGGCATAGAGAGTCAAGTGGCAGAAAAGCCAGAGTCCTCTAGGACTTCAACACTTAAGGAAAGATGTAGCCTGACCATTCCTCAAGTACAACACATCCCATTCTGAATTTTCACTGGGAACTCCAAACACTATTATTGCCTTTCTTTCTTTTCTTTTCTTTCTTTCTTTTTTTTTTTTTTTGTTTGAGAGAGATTTTTGTTATAAGACAAGTGCGCTCACCGGTGAAACAGAGAGAAAGAGAGACATCACCCCCCACAGTGGGAATGGCCATGCCATAATCCCTCTTCCTCCATTCTCCTCTGGGTATTTTGAGCATACCAACACACGCACATGGACGGCCTGATTTCCAAACCACTGGGTCCAGAAGTAGAACCACGGTTAGTCATGTGGTTGCCCAGCACCTTAACCATTACACCACCTGCTGGCTCCATCATTGCATGTCTTCTATCTTATCTGTCTGTTCAAGTAAAAAGTAAGCTCTATTCAAATATTTTTCTCCAGAATGGCAATTTTATTCTACCTATTATACTTATCTTCCTGCTATGCACCTAACTGCACAGCTACTATAAATTTAATACTACTTCCTATACACTATTCCCAGGTATCAAATGTGAATAAATGATTAGTTACTAAGAGGTAGAAAGAATGATTAGAAATAAGTATAAGTGTTTTATAGTATTCTTTTTAGCAATTTTTAAAAGTTCAAACATACTTTATTAAATTTTCAAAAGTTTTAAGTTGGAAGAAAAAGTAAATGATTCCTCACCTTTTTCCTGGCCAAATCATTTTTCATTGTCCCTTATTACTACACAGACCTCACTCCAGGACTTTTGACACTAGACTGAATGAATCACCTGCTAAAACATCTGCCTCCCATTTGCACTCCGAAGTTCTACTCCTCACTCATTTCTATCACCTGCTTTCACCACACTCCTAAACCAAGTGCTGTTAACTGCATGGATGATGAATCAATTATGTTATTTTCCAAAGAGACCATGGGCTAGATGAGAGAAAAAAACATCACATATCTTCTGGAAATATGAAATCACAATGAAGGCTAGAAGCCCAGATTCCTGAATATCTCCTGATAGCCCTTTGAAAAATCCATAGAAATAGGAGAAACTGGACCATCTGGTGACAAGAGGGCTGTTTCTATAGAAAAAGGCATTCTCTACTCACCAGTGGATCCATTGCCAATTACTCAATTTCCCATTGTTGTCTTCTGGATTCTCACTCATAGATAGTCCAAGCACTAAGCAGGGAAAACTGGATGGAGAAGGAAGCCATGAGACTCCAGTCTTGTGCATAAGTTCCAGAACCATTTATCATGAAAATTCAGAGCTTCACTTGACTATGAGCCCCCACCCAAGAAACAGAAAAGGGCAGTAAGCGCTAAGAACAGGCTCAGAAATCTCATATCCAAGGTCAGTACTGAACAAAACATAGGCATCGTTGCTAATAAAGACCACAGAGATACATAGGTCTTATGAATTAGAACATGAAAAGTATTGAGTTTTTCTGATCAGTTAGACAGCCCATAGTGACCAGTCACTCCCAGGTTCCAAACCAGAGATCCTTGACTCATTCCATTGATGGAATTTGTTTTTTATCTCTTGGTGAATAATGGGGAGTCTCTCACATTTCATCATCCCTATTATTTGCTAACCAAGGTTCTCCAGAATTCACCGCAGCAATCTAGAATTTCACTCCCTTTCTGCCCTCATTTAACCCTGACTTTGAAATCTTTCTTCCATGGAATTAGATTTTAATCAAATAAGAATGTTTCTGGGGCCACCAGGTGGCGTGGTGGTTAAAAGCACTGGATTCCCATATGGTCGATGGTGGCTCGAGTCCTGGACCTGGTGGCTTAAACTCACGGCAGGTGTGTGCGCATGCATGTCCAAGATCCTAAGAGGAGAATGGAGAAGGAATTGCAGCGTGGCCATCCCCCCTGCGGGGGTGATTTCTTGTTCTCTGCCTTTTTGGCGTGTACACATGCCCTATAGCAAAAAAATAAACCTGCCCCCCCAAAAAAAGAGTTTATTCACTTCAAAAATTTATTCTACTTTCAGGGATCAATTGGTTCTCACCCTGATAATCTAGCCCTGCAATTCCCCTATAACATAAACTAGCAAGAGTACATGAGTCATAACACATTACTACATACTGACACTGGGTCTGGGATGCTCAGAAAATATCAAGTTGACTGAGTGTTAGAACGAAATCTAGTGACCCTATTTGACATTCTACTCAAGTTGTAAGTATAATTGTTGGAGTCTTGTTTATTCATCTTCACTTACTGCAATATCCTTGCTTTTCAGTCATACACACATACATGTGTATATGTAAAAGAAATGTGTACAAAGTTAAATTTTCACCTAAAATATCAGTAATAACTAAATCTCCCTATCTCACACAGAAATGATAATAATGGGGACCTGTAGTTAGCATAATGGCTGTATCGCTGGACCCTCATGTAGTCGACCGCAGTTCGAGTCCTGGACCTGGTGGCTTAAAACTCACTCAGGGTGAATGTGCATGTGTGCCCAAGATTTCGAGAGGAGAATGGAAGAGATGGGATTGCAGCATGGCCATCCCCCCTGGGGGGGGTGGTGATTTCTCGCTTTCTGTCTCTCTCTCTCTGTCTGGCGAGTGCATGCACCTTATAGCAAAAAAAAAACTCTCAAAAAAAAAAAAAGTGGGATGGATTCAATTTGTACTGGACATCCAAAAAAAGTCAATCTACATTAAACGTGACTATATGCTTACAGACTATACATACTCAGTTATTTGGTCCTGTTGATTGTAGATTATTAACCATGTTAACAAATAAACAGGGGTTTTGAAAACATTAATGATATGATAAGCTTACATATTTAGAAAAAATACACTAATAATTTTAGTTGTAATTTGCCCGTCTCCTGTGTTCCAATTCTTTAAATGTTGCACACTACACCAAGGTTTTACCTGAATGCCACCGACATTAATAAATAGAAAAAAAAAACACCATGTCATTACAATGTCTTCTTTCTTTTTCTGAAACTCACTACCCATATCCAGTTCCTACATCATTCTCAAATCTATAATTCCCAGGGACCAGCAGATGGCAAAATTGCTATGTCACTCTCATGTAGTTGACTACAGTTCGAGTCCTGGACCAAACTGGCTTAAACTCACATCAGGCGCACGTGCATGTGTGCCCAAGATCCCAAGAGAAGATTGGAGGAGAAGGGACTGCAGTGGAGCCACCCCCCTGGGTGTGATTTCTCACATTCTGTGTCTCTGGTGAGCACACGAGCCCTATAGCAAAAACCTCTCAAAAAAAAAAGAAATCTATAATTTCCAAATATCATATTCTCTTGATTTCTTCCACCCAGTTCTAATCCACACTCACTAATTCATTAATTTCAGTACACATTAATATAAAACACATAACATTTTTCTTATCCCTTGCACTATTTTCTCAAACCTGCTACTTAAGCCTTCAATAGCAGGAGACTCCAAGTCCCTGTCTCTTCTAGGACTGCATTTGAGAGCATATGACTAAGACATGGATCCTTGTCCAAACGTAAAGTGACCTAAACAGCCCGGCTTTAAGAAAGAACCAATGTAACTCCATATTAAATGCAACACAAGATTGACTCTTGGGCCAGCTGGTGGCATGGAGGTTAAGGCGACTGGATCACACGTGGCTGACTCACTGTCTGAGTCCTGGACTCAGCTGAAAACACCAGAAACATGTTCATGCACACTCAAAATCCTAAAAGGAGAATGGAAAGGAAGTTGTAGCATGGCTATCCCACTGAAGGATGATTACCCATTTTTCCCTGTAATGTCTCTCTGCAGTGAGTGTACACACCCCAGAGCAAAAACAAACCAAAAAAAGAGGGGCTGTCAGGTGGCATGGTGATAAAGGTGCTGGGCTCATACAAGGCTGAGTACAGTTTGTGTCCTTGATCTGGTGACTTGCTTTCTCACTTTCCTTTTCTCTCTTACTCTGGTCAAACTGAAAAATAAATGATAACAAAATTAAATAAAAAATTCTTACCCCCCCAAAAAAAAGAAAAGACTTGCTCTTTTTGTTTGAGAGAGATTGTTGCTATAGGGTGCATATGCTCACCAGAGAGACAGACAAAGTGAGAAATCACCCCCAAAGGGGGATGGCTACATCACAAACCCTTCTCCTCCATTCTCCTCTAGGGATCTTGGGCATGCACATGCCTCTGGTGTTAATTTCAATTACCCGGGTCCAAGATTCAAACTGCAGTTGACTATGTGGGAGTTCAGTGCCTTTACCACTATGCCATCTGCTGGCCCCAAAAGAGACTTACTCTTTTTTTTTTTTTTTTGGAGAGGTTTTTGCTATAGGGCGCTGTGGGAGGCTGTGCACCAGCGAGTCCAAGAGGCCATTTTCATGAGTCTCTTACTATTGCCATCTTAGGCTCAGAGAGCAAACAATTACAAAGGCCACAATTGGCTCCCCTTCAAAAACCTCACCTTCCAAACCATACTCTGATTGGCCACTTCCCATAGCAAACTGGTGAGCTTAGAATCCCTCAGATTTGCATATCCAGCACCTCATGATTGGTCCACAAAGCAACCAATCATAACCCACCTTTTACTATCCTTCATTCAACCAATCACGGCCCACCAACATGTATATAACCACGATCCCTGGCCCATAATCGCCAGACGACCCTGAAGACCCTGAAGAGCTGTGACACCGCATCGTCTCCAGATGACCCTGAGCTGTGACATGGTGTCATCTCCAGACGACCCTGAACTGTGACACTGTGTCGTCTCCAGATGACCCTGAAGAGTTGTAACACTGTGTCGTCTCCGTGCTACCCACAATAAAGAGACGACCCTGAAGAGACACTGCGTCGTCTCCATGCTGTGACAGAGCGCCATTCATCCCGTCTCTCACTCCTTCTCTCAGGAAACCTGTTCAACTGTCCCACTGGCCAGGACAGGGAGCATGAGCTCACCAGAAAGACAGAGAAAATCAGAGAGACAGAAAGCGAGGAATGACTCCTCCAGGGAGGATGGCCATGCCACAACCCCTTCTCCTCCATTCTCCTCTCGGGATCTTGGGAACACACGCACATGCTCCCAGCATGAGTTTAAGCCACCAGGTCCGGGATTTGAATCGCAGTCGACTACATGGGAGTCCCGTGATATAACCATTACACCAACTGGTGGTCCTGAGACTTAACTCCTAAAAATTAGTTGCTTCCCTTTACCTAACTACCCTTGGTTCACTGTTCAACTTGAAGCAAAAAATCTAATCTTATCATTGCTGAATTTTCACAAGACCTAGACCTTGAAATCACAAGTCAGAGATCAGATATGTCTAAAAAAAAAAACAAAGAAGAAAGAGACTCTGGCTTTCAAGGTGAAGCGACCCTGTGCATAGCAACCTTGGAGACCACTAGACTCATGGCTGCACAAAGGACACGTAGTACCCCCTCTTCTCCAATCCTTATCTACTTTCCCCCTGATATCCTCTATCCCAGTCTGTGATTCCAGAGTCATCTTTGAATATTAGTTCATCTTCCCAGATGACCAGTTTCCTGAATAAAGTTACCTTTCCTTCCACCAACAGTTGCCACTCAAGTGGTATGACAGCTCACGGGCTCAGACTGGACCCAGAGCTAGTAGAGTTATGACTATTCTCAGTGACTTCCAAAGTCCCTGCCTCCTCAACCATGTCTTGTAAAATAAATCATTTCCCATACTCCATAAATATTATAGAACTTCTTTGTGACTTCTGAACTTCAAACAGTCCCACTCTACCTTCCCTTTCAAAATAAAATTATAATAGTTTACAATCTGCAAATAGCATCTAGGGTTACCATGGTGAAATATTAAAAACCAGATGGTACAAAAAGACAAACCTATTTGCTCACAGTTGTAAAGTCTAAGAGTGAGATTAAAGATTCTGCAGAGCTGGTTTCTTCTAAGACTCACCTGCTTGGCTTATTGTGCTAGGCTTCTCCCTGTGTCTTTACATGCCCTTTTCTGTGTCATGTGAAGTGTCCTAGTTGCCTCTTCTTAGAAGGACATTAGTCATACTGGCTCACTCCAATGACCTTTTTAAACTACCACTTCAAAGACCACATGTGCAAATATAGTCACATTCAGATGTCCTGAAAGTATTCTTGTTTCAACAAGAAATATTTGGGGAGCAGAATTTATTCTCCCAAAATGAATTTTGGTGGATTAAATAATGTGGCAAAATACTTCAGTTTGTAACTATATCTGTA